ATCACCCCCCCAGTCCCTCTCTGACTGGCAGCTCTCCAGCTACTCCTCCCCAAGCCTGTAGCGCTGCTGGGGGTTGTTGTGGCCCAAGGGCAGCCCCCGGCATTTGCCCTTAGTGAAACTCATACAGTTGGCCTCAGCCCATTCTTGAACTTATTTTAAACTCTTTGAACACTGAAGGTGTTTCATGAGGTGGCAACAGTTAAGTTAGGTTTCTGTGACAACATGAATGTCAAAACCACTTTTTAAAATTTATGTCACTTCTCTGCCTACATCACACTTGCGCATTCATGTGACCTGGCTTTAATTTAACGTTTGGTAAATATTTGCATAGTAATTCCTAAAGTGTTCTCCCACACATAAAGGAAATGATGATAAACAGCTTTTAAGTGGCTTGATGTTAAATGCAAACATGACTTGCAGCCCTAAGGTAAAATGCATGTTAGAGTAACTGTTCAATATTCATTTGGGAAGTGCTGGTATGTATTATACCAGGTAACTTACTCATACTTTTTCTTTATATATTTAGATGTTTCTGTTGTATACCTCAGCTAAGCATCTGCATAAGGGTTATATGCCATGTTCTAAGAGACCTTCTCCCCACTTGTGCTGTTTGGATTTTTTGGAGCCGTTTTGAGGAAAACCTGTAGATGGGTTTTCTCCTAAAGTGAGAGCATTTAGGAGCACAGATAGACAGTCACCATACTTGAATGCTGCCCAGAGCTTCTAGGCTGCTGTTAGTGTGTTATTTTTACAAGATAGGATTTTTACAGTCATCCTTTTTCAAAACTAATTCTTTCTTCTTGAGCATGTGAACTTCTAGTGATGATGATTAAAGAGATACTGGGAGGAATCATTCCAGACATTGTCAGAATTAGAATAGGACTTTAATCTCAAACTAGAAAACTAGAACCTCTCAGTTAAGGGGGGGGGAGAAAGATAAAATAAAATTGTCCTAGCATGTTAGAATACAGTTCTTACACTTTTTTTTTGCTTTATATGTGGTAGTTTACTCAGCAGCAAGTGCCTTCTTAGTAAATATGTCCTTAATCAGTCCCTTCCCCAAGCACAAATGGGATAAGTGTAATATTACCCTGTATTGTTTAAAAACTTATAAATCTAGCATTTTCTGCTTTCAACAGGTAAGAAGTGTTACTTCATTGTAGTAAACATATGCAAGCTGGGAACAACCCTTCACATGTTTAACAGCCTATCACCTCTGATACTGGTGTTACACTTTCAGACTGTAGAAGTAGAAAAACTGTCTGTTTTGCAAGAACTCTAGTGATACACTTTATAAAGTTACCCTGTTACTTTGGAAATGCAGTCCCCTGCCTAGTGGTTTTAGAATATATGGAAACCTGAAGTGTTCATGATGCTCTTTGTGATTGTTGTATCTTACTAAACTGTAAGAAACTTAAAATAAGACCATCCCTTTTTAAGGAAAGTTTTGATTTCTCCAATGATGATTCCATTTTGGATGTACCACAGTTATTTTTTCAGACCTATTCCTTTTGAGTTCTAAATAATGTCTAAAACGTGTGTGTATGTGAATGCATATGCACACACATTCATTTTTCCTCCGTCTATTCCCTATTCATCATGTAGATTAAATGCTATTTGGGACTTAAGATACTCAACTCTGCTGGTAGTTAATGGCTTATTTTATATGGCAAGTTAGCTAGAATATTGGTGGTTTATTTATTGAAGCTGTCTGGACTCTTGGTGGGAGTAAAAAAGCACAGAAGAAATCGCTATATAGATTTTAGAGTTTTTTCTGTAGACAGTTTGTATCCTGTGCATGGCAGTGATTTTGGAGTTCATCTAAAGAACAGAAAATGTTCTCTGACTTTGAAAACTCTTTGGAATGGGTGGGTGATTTTTGCTGGTCAGATGAGCTGTTGTTACTTCTGTGACTGTGCAGAGGGAATTTCCTGCACCTAGGCAGTGTAGCAGTACTTAGTATTTGTTTCATCAAACATGTCTACGAAAAGCATCTCTCTCCCCCCTCCCCTTTCCCTCCTGCCCCACCTAGCCTTTAGTAGATGTCTTTTTACTTTTCAGGGATGAAGTTCTGGCTAAGTTGCTAGAAGCTAGTTTCACATTTGTCTTTCTGAAACAGCAAGTGTTTTGTCTTGTTTAGTTACTGTAATTAGGGAGTCCTTGAGATCAAAAAGTCGTAGTGGCTCACTCTGTGTTTACCTGATTCATAGTATGTTGGGGAGTAATACCTAAACTGTTAAGAAGTATTTTTCTGCTAAAGAAACTGAAACATGTTCTGGTTTAGTTCTTATTCCAGTGTGAATTGTCATGCCTTTCTTTTAAGGAATCTAAAGATTGGTAAGGAATGGCATCTTCTGTTCTTTCAAAATGATTTGATTTAGAGACTACTTATCTCTTGATATGACCACTAACAAAACCATTAAATTACTGTATTTCTTGTGGCCCAAAGTAAAAGGAAGGTTAGGAATTGGGTAATTGTAATGTAGTTGCGGGTGGCTGTGTGTCTTGAGCTTGTTTCCTGCCAACTTGCTGCATTCTGTTGGGACAACAGAGCTTTTGCAGCCCTTTTTTCTTTATTTTTCAATGACACATCTGGGTTGGTGCAGCTCCTGAATCACAAATAGAAGTGAATATTCCAATCAACTGTTTATTTTTTGTACATCAGCTTTATTCTGCCTACAGGACACTTGAACAACATAATAAGTATAACAGGTTTTAATATATCTTCAGACAAAAATGATAGCTGCGGAAGTTTGGCTAATTAAGAGGAGTGGTTTTCCAAGTATGCTGTTTTAGTGTTTCAAACTATGAAAACTTTTTGTAATTGTGTTAGTTAAAAGGTTCAGGAGGAACATCTTGTAGCTACTGGTGCATTCCAGTTTGAGAGAATTATACTTTGTAAGTTTATTGGTAGGGTCAAGTGACACTCTTTCACAAGGTTTCTGCAGTAGGTAAATTTTTTGATCTAAGTTAACATGCTTGCTTGTTGGCAGAGATATGTTTCTTCTCTGCCTTTTCATCTTAGAATTTTGTGGTATGGTAAAAATACTTAAACCATGGGCTTTAAAATAGAGTTTTGAGCTGCAATAGTTGTCTATGCTTTATCTCTTTGTAGAGACAAAAGCATGTTAATTGATTTTCTTAAATTTTGTAATTTTGAACACAATACCTAGAATGAACAAACATTTGCTATTTCACAAATGGGTGGTTTCACTGTGAAATGAAATAACTGTAGGTAGAGATAAATTACAGATTAAATAGACATGTTACAAATAGAGATACTTCTATGTGCTTAATTGGTTGGTTGTTATTCAGCCATACTGTACCTTAGGTACACTTAACCCTCAAACAAGTGCAAGGAGGTAAAAAAGCTGTGGGTTAACCTAAGGCTTCTAAGCCCTGCACAGCTGCCTGCTCGCTCCTTGCCTGGTGGGCTGGGGAGGAGAATCATGAGGGTACAAGTGAAAAAACTTATGGCCTGAGGTAAAGACAGTTTAATAGATAAAACAAAAGCTGATAAACATAACTCTAACCCAGCCCCCCTCCACCCTTCTTTCTCCCAGCTTTTATTGCTGAGCACAGTGTCACATGATCTAGAATATTCCTTTGGTCAGTTGGGGGTCAACTGCCCCGGCTGTGTTCCCTCCTAACTTCTTGTGCACCCCAGCCTACTCACGGAAGGGGCAGTGTGAGAAATGGGGAAGGCTCAGATGCTGTGTAAGCACTGCTCAGCAACAGCCATAACATCCCCGTGTTACCAACACTTGCTAGTCTGTATAGTGTGTCTGTTGTGCTTCAGTTTGCTTCAGAGGACTGTGATCTATTTAGACTTAGCAAAGAAGAAGGAATTAGAAATACAGGTCATTGGGATTGTTTATTTCTCATCAGCAGTGCTCTTCGTCCGTTCCAGAAACCTTTCTCAAAGCTATGTGTGTGCAGGCCAGTTTCTCGACCCTTAATTTTAGCATATTCTGGCCAGTCTCCATAATATTTGATGGAGGACTCAAATATGCTTTGTAATCTTAACATATTTCTTTTCTTCAGCGTACTGTGGAGGATGTGCCAATTCAACATTTATCAATGCTGATACCATAGAGTATTCAATCAGCTGTCATGTGCTTGTCAAACCACCATAGCTGGTCCTAACAGGATAAATGTTCAAAATGTTAACTGAGGGAGTTCAGACATAACTACTGCTTAGACTGTCCCTCTTGCAAGTTATGTGTACACAGGTAGCTGGTATGGTTTTGGAACAGTGGTTACAGACTGTGTCTGCTCCCTGGTTTGTATTTCATGTCAGGGAGAATTTGCTGTTGAGCAGTGCACTCTGAGCCTTTTGACTTCAGGGTCAGTGGAATGATGGCAAAGTTCCCAGTTACTGAAGTGAAGTAGTTAGTAATATATGAGGAAAACATTAGTTTTGGAAGACTAACATGATTCTTGTTAATATGGTGGACAACTTTGCATTGGAATTTGAGAGCATTTATTGTGAAAACAAACTGGGATTTATTTATTCTATTAATTTCTTTTTGCCACAATAGCCAGACCTACCACCTCAGAGAAAGAAACTATGGTTGTGGGGTTTTTATTCATATATATATATATATAAAAACACGTAGTGTGTGTGTGTGTGTGTGTGTGTGTGTGTATATATATGTGTGTGTGTGTGTGCCTGCTGATAACCCACATATTCCAATCATCAACTGTTGCAAAATGAAAAAAGTTTAATTTAGCCTTATTTTTACTATTTAACTTAAGTAAAGAGTGATAATGAAATGGTAATGTACGTTTTAAAGATTGTTTGCATGGTGTTCTATAGGTAATGTTATGCGTCTGTGGTTTTCAGTCTCTTGGTTTCAATTTCAAGTAGTGGCTCCAAGCTTCAACCTCATGATTAAAGAGGGAAATGAGTGGGAAGCACATGGGATGCAAAACTGCTTTGTCTGGTGGCATTAAAACAATACAAGGTTATGTTAAGAAGTCTTCTGCCTGTCTTGCAGGATCCAACTTCCTGGGTAAATATTCACCACCTGGAGTATACAGATGGAGGAATCCTGGACCCAGATGACGTACTGGCAGATGTTGTGGAAGACAAAGATAAGGTAGAGCTTGGATGAAAATATGACTTTTGCTTTTTACTGTGTCTTTGCAAATAACTAATGTAACTCTCTTATTTCTTGGATATCTGACAGAGGAAGTGGGTGTTAAATATACTTAAATTAAACATATCTGCCCACGGGTTTCTATAGTAGAACTGGAGGGAACAAAGAAAAAGCATGACCAAAATGATTAAGATAATTAGGGGAGTCTAGCAGTTGATTTGGGACAACCTTTTCAAGCAGTTCTGTGTTTATTTTTATTGCTGTATGAAAATAGAGTGGTGAATGAATGTGAGTTTTGCAAGACATCTTTTTTTATGCCACTTAAAATATCTTTTATAATCTCTTTTTTGCTTAGAGTTAAGTTTTTGAGAATCATTCAAATGTCATGGTTGAATATGTGTGACAAACAGACAAATCCTGTGATGACAAGAACAGCTGCCTCAACTGTGTTGAATTTCAGGAGGAGTTCCTGTGATTTGTTACTGAAAATCTAAACAGGCCAGTTACTAATTTTAAAAGCTGTAAGTCTCTAACTTTTCGATTCAAACAAGATAGATGTCCTTTCTGGGTAGAGAAGTAGCTGCAAAGAAGCCCCTTCTAAATTTTCTTTTGTAGTTATCAAGAAAGTTTGGGGAAAATAATTGGTGACATTTTAGCATAGAGGAGGAGGGATATAAATTATAATACTTTGAGGCTTTTTTCTTCATAAAATTGGAAAAAAAAAATATATCTAGTGTCTTGAAACTGAAGATCCAAGTATAGGATATGCCTGTACTTTAAGACAAATAGTTTTGTCTATTTATAGTACCATATGCTTAGTGATTTAAAAAATAATTTTGTTTATTGCAAACAGAAATGCTAGTTTTGTATGCTGTTGATTCTTCAGTGACTTAATACAAAGTGCAACATTTTGCTTACAATTAATGAGATGCTCGGTTTTCCAAGGTTTCTCAGTACCTTGGGAAGTTGTCTAAGGTGTAATTAGTGTCATTTTATGGTGTTTTGTTTGGGAAGTCTTAAAAAACAGTGGAGCTCTGTTTGATATATGTTCTTTTTATCAAACTTGTGTTTCTTGCTTGTCCATATTTACTGAAAAAATACTTAAAACACCCTAAGAGTTGTTTCCAGTAGCATTTGGAGACTAAAGATTGGGTTCTGAGGAATGACACAGCTGTATATAAAGGATAAGACCATAAGCATAAGATGTTGTAAAATGAGATGTCACATCAAAGGAAAATGTGTTAGTGGTCTCATCAAGTAATAAAAATTAACATGTCCACCCAGTATTTCCTCATTTTGAAGTACTGATACAGGAACACTTACGCAAATATCAGCAGTAGTTTGCAGAATATTTGATATACCATCCAGCTTTTAACTTGTTGCCAAAGCCTTTGCTATGTTTTATTGGGTGTCACTGATTGACAACGTGCTGCTGATGGTAGTTCACACACAGATGTAGGTTTAAGCATCTTCTGCTTTAACAGTGCTAGTGGGACTCCATAGTTCTGAGGCTGCCTTGAGGAAGAACTACTGGAAAACTGGAATCTTACTTGCTGAAGTGGTTGGGGCGGTTTAGGTATACAGCAAACTCCTCAATTTTCTTCCTGTGATGTTTCAATTACATATGATGCATCACTGACATGTTCTTCAGAAGGCCTTGGTAAAACAGTGGTAAGTAAGACTTACCGAACAGCAGCAGCTGCAGTGACAAATCAGGTTTTTTGATTAAACTAGGGGAGAATCATGTGAGGGGGCTGCTGTTTGAGAGGCTGAAGTATTCTTCCATTTGAGACTGAAATTGGGCCATAGCGTGTGTGAGGAGATGTCCATACTTATTACAAGGTTTCATACGATCTGATAAGAACCAGCCCTATAAAAGGCCTACAAATATTTTAAATCATTTTAGTGTGGCCTATTAGCCTTTGAGCTTTCACCCCTGCTATTCCACACTGAGAATATGGCTAGAGGATCTTTAAGCTTTGCTAGAAGGGGAGGAGATATTTGGATCTAATTGACTTGATATCTAATTTGGTATTTAAAGTCCCTAAATAGGTGAAAGACTTTTTGGTACATTTATCTGTGCACTGATTCTCTTTGGTTTGATTATATGCATGTGTGATAAATGAATAAGCCACAGCTTTGTTGCTTCCTTGTCATCCTTTCTTATGAATCCAAACCAGTAATGCAGCCTCCCATGAAATCAGTTGCTTTGTGTAAAAATAAGTGTTGCACTTAACCTCAGTGCCTTTAACCAAAGGTGTGTTTGGCATTGCAGAACATCAAGCTCTGATTCAGTGGCAGAGGGAAGTAGATGATGCTTTTTTAAGGGTTAATCTGCTCTAGATTGTACTTTGATAGCAGTAAATTAGCACAGTTCCTTCAAAGGAAAATGTGCTTGCTAATCTATTGAAATTCTTTCACTGTGACAACAAAACAGTGAATTGGAGAGAGCTATCAGATCTAATTTTTTTGGAATTTCAAAAGCTTTTGACAGTCCTTAACAATAGAGTGTTAAGGAGGCACAGCTACTCATGAGGTAAGCAGCAAGTGCTGCCCTGGATCAATAAATGATGGAGGGGGAACAAAAAGATGGAATAAATGGTCAGTTTCCAACACTGTGAAATGATGGCACTGGGATGCATAATGCATGTTACTGTGAGTGGCAGTGTTTTTGAGCTCTGCTTATTTTAACTTTGTGGTTTCCTCTTGAATTCAAAACAAATCAAAATTCAGAAAATAGGCAGTACAGCGGATGATATTAACTGCTGTCAACTCCACAGTTTTGCATGTTGTAGTGGGTGGCTTGTTCTATTTGCATATAAACCAGGTCTACATTACTATTATATGTGCTTGGTAACATGTGTCGTGTGAAAATGCTTTGGTAATTCTTCCTGGTGAGAGCCCCTCTTGCTAGTGCTGCCTCAGCAGTAATGTGTGGTCCGAATTGGATGTCAAAGCTTGTGTTGAATAGTTTTAAGATAGTTTGTTTTCACTAAGTTAATTGAGTTTTCTAGTATTTTCTCTAGGGTTTTGTAACTTTCTGATAACTGGAATGCAGAAAAGTTGGGATTTTTTTATATTCTTCAGTTCATTGTATGACAGTATGATACACTTGTTTAGGAAAAACAAAGCAAGAGATATAAGACTTAGTTACAGCTGAGAATTTTTACCTATTGAAGTATATGCTGTAGTGGTTTTTTATGTAGACTGCTCTACAAGTTGTTGCTTATTAGTCAGCTTTTCCCTGGAGAAGTTAAAAAAATAATAAATCCCTTTGATATAAAGAAGTAAGTACATAAGAGAGATGTCTGGTAGCAAAGAAAGCAATTTAAGGATGTTAGTTTTGTATAATGTGGAGGTAACATTTTAAATGTGCAATGGACACAGGATAGTTCAGGTTGGTTTATTGTAACTTACATGCTCTGTATCTTTCAGAAAATCTCCACCAAAAAAGACATCAATCAAAGAAAAGAAAACCCAATTTTATTTTTTTTTTTTTTCCTCTGTAAGGTGGTGAAAGTTGCTCTGGACTAGGGTTTTGGCACTCAAATGTTTTATGACATTTAGTTGATTAGTACCATGGCCAAGTTACTGTTTTAATGTGTGTGCTTTTACTGACTGTTAAACTGGCTGCAGGAAATACATGCTTCAGATTTTTGATACTTAGTGCTTCTGGCACGGTCTTGGTTATGCCTCTGTAAGTTGAATGCCTTGTTTGAGAGAACTTTTGTCTAGAGGCAGGTAACTTTCATGTTTAGTTCCTTGAGGCTAATGAAGTAAAATGGGGATTAGTAGATTAAAAAGCCTGGTGTGTTCAAGATGGGAAACATGAAGGTGCACAAATTTGGCAAAACTGGTGTGTAAGGGCTGTTGTTCTTTGATTTGGTTTTAATGGTTTTTTTTTTCTAAGTATAATTTTCAGGATGTGGTTAGTATCTGTGTCAGTATGTGTGTATATATTTGTCTCTGACACTTGCTGCTTCTGGTTTTGCATTCATATTTTGTGGTTTCAGTAATGAGATGCTACAGATGAGCAGAAATATTAATGTTTGATTAGCAAAAAGATAACTAAATTCATTCCTTTAAACTCTAAATTGGTAAAAATTAAAATCAATTTAACTTTTATTCCAAATAACGTGTTTACAGCCTTCAAAAGCGTGATACAGTGTTCTTCTCTTTGTTGTATTTAAAGCATTCTGCTTTTCCCTTGTATTTATAATCGGTTGCAGTTGTTCTTTCCCATAATCAAAGTTATTGGGATATGAAATTGTTACTGCTGACAATATTTGTTTACTGAAATATTCATAGCTAATTCTGGGTGATGAAGATACAAAGACAAAACACTAATATGAGTGAAACCTCTGTGTAACTTCTGTTCTATCAAGAGAGTCCCAGTATTAAGTATTCTTCAGTTGTGCGATAGTTAGCTATGCGTTGTGTGTCTACAAGAAAGGGAAGTATTAGAAAGGGCATATTTTCAATACTATCGTTATCCTTTTCAACACTTGAAAATATGGAGATATGCGACACAAGACAATTTCAGATCAAAATGGAGTATCTGTTCTTTTGCGTTGACTGTGATGATGACACTTCCCCTCATCTTGAGTCACAGGCTTTTTAACTCGTTCAAAAGGACAGTGCCAACGCTTGCTAAAAAACCCTTTCAGTTTATGCTTTACATGTAGTTTAAAAACAAAAACAAGCGTTGGGGATGGGGGACATTCTTATGGCAGAACTGCATACCTTGATTTGCTGGCCTTCTGATGAACTAAAGTGGAGTTTTGCTTTTGTTGTTGATTAAATAGTATGCAAGCCAGTCAAGTTGCAGCCTATTTAAAAAAAATATGTTGTCACACTTTTCAGGAAGAAAAGGTTTTATGCCATTTTGAGCCAGTGCTTGTTTAGGAAACAGATGTCTGATTTCACTCTTGTGTAGTAGGGTATGCTGTGAGCCACCATATATATACATATATATATATATATATATGTATATGTGTATA